ATTAAAGTGCAATATCCTAAAAAATATGTATAAAAATATGTACATAAATGTTATATATTTTATGTGTATCAGACGCCAAGACCACCCGACTGAGCATAAATAGAAGGTTGGCCAACTACAATGCTAAGAACGTCTAGTTCTGCCCAAACTTTGAAGACTGCCAACCAAGGTGCCAAGATCGCATAGCTGAGCATAAGTAGAAGGTTAGCCGACCGCGATGTCAAGATCGCCCTGTCCTGCCCAAACTTTGAAGACTACTAGTTGACTCACCATTATTGCCTGGTTGAGCATAATGGAAGGTTGGTTGATCGCAATGCCCTCAGTTCTACCCAAACTCTTAAGATAGCGAGCTGATCCAACTTAAAATTACCTATTTTTAGTGTGCATTTCATGTTCACTTTACGCAAATTTTTTATATATTAAATTTTAAATGAAAATTTTTTGCATGTTTGTTATTTCAGGTATAAAGAATGGAATTTTAGCTTAAATGAAGTAAAAATGGTGCAATTTGGAGCTAAATTGAGTATAACACTAGGAGCGAACCTGAGCTGAAACAAGGCTAAATGGAGCAAAATAGGTATGATGCCAGCAGAGTGGCGCTATAGCTCTAGATTCTAGCGCTATAACATCAAACACGACTATAAACAGGCGTAATAGCACCGATTCTAGCGTCATAGCACTAGAGGCAGGTTTTGGATGGCTTTTGGGTGATTCTGGGCCATTCTGAGATGTTCTAGAAGCTTCTCGATGGCTTGCATGCCCCATGGAGTGGTTAAACAATTCTAGACACTTGAAACAGCTCTTGAATGAAGAGATGCATCTCTTGGAGTGAGAGAGAAAAGAGTGTGTCTTTTGGATGAAGAGATGTGTCTTTTGGAGAAAGAAGGGGTTTTTGTATTTCTTTAAATAGAGGGGCTGACACCGCTCATGAGAAGTAATTAATGTGTGTTTTAGGAGGAGTTTCTAGTGAGATTGAGAGAGAGTTTGGCGTGAGTCTATGAAGATGAATATTTCTCCATTTTCTGGAAAGATTTGTGAGGGATTTTGAGAGATATGAGTAAAGATGTATGAGCAGCGCATAGATCGGCGGGAGACTTTGTTGGAGAGATTTTTATCTTTATTTCAGAGGGAAAAAACTAAGTATTGTGTTCTTCATAATCTTGTAATTGTTGTAAATATTTTCTACTAGATTTTCTTTGATTCAAACGAAGTTTTTGTTGTGTTTTATCCATGCTTCATAAGTAATTTTCTTTACTCTTTTCTTTTAATATGAAGTAGTGGCATGTGTAGGAAAATTTATTTTATGATAAAAAAAAATTTTATTTTCATGTGATGAGTAATATCTCCTTTGTTTCATTAACATATTTTAGGTGACAATAGTTTATGTTAAAATTTGTTGTAAGTGAAAATAAGACTCGGGAGAGCAGTAATCTTGCAACTTGAGTGCATTCACATTGACTGGCTGGCTAGTAAAATATTTTAGGCGGCAATGCAACTTTTAAGGAAATTTAATTAAATGATTTTTTTTCTATTAGGAGCTTCTAGATGGGAGATAGTTGCATAAAACTAATAGAATACTAAGCGCACCTATACACTAGAAAGAGAGTAGGTAGACATATGTTCCTTGTTGGCACATAATTTATTATTTAATTACATCGATCCTTTTATTGCTTATATCATTATCTTCATTTTACTTTTCTTTTGCAATTAAATAGATGCATGCTTAAGAATTTAGATGTGCTTAGATGTTCTCTTATTTAATTAATGTGATGGTATTTTCACCGGATCTTAATTTACTTTACAAACTGATCATTGTAATGTTAAAATCTTCTGCGAAACATAATGACCAATGAGGGCTATGATTTCACCAACTAGTGAATACCAAATTTCAACTTGGGCAGTCATTCTGATCACCTAAGAGGGAGTGCAAATATATAGGTAGATAAGTTTTGATGGGCGTAGAATTATTGTTTCTAGGGTGAAAGACTATGTTAATTTATCAATTTGGTCTAGAGTTTGGATCTTAATAGTCCCTAGTAGGTTCTATAGAGAGGGCACAGTGGGTAATCTCAAAGTGAGAGGTAATCTCAAAGTGAGAGGTCAAAATCTACTCAGCACTACTACACAAGTTTGTTAAAAACTCTAAGTTAGCCAATGTTCTTCGCTAGCACCGACAGAAGAATAAGTGTGTTATTATTTGTCACTGGCTACATTAAATTCTAAGCATTTCATTTCTACACATAGTCTAGGTCATTGCACGAGAATGGTAGTCTTTAACATCATAAAATTCTCCAAATCAGTTTATCCAGACAAGTTATCTTTAGATTTAAGATTTTCATTTAGGAGTAATTGTTAGAAAAACAACTTTAATCGACATTTCAAACTAAGGCCTAATAGTAGTAGACTAGAATTAGCCTAAGGGATTTCTTACCTCACTTCTTTGTGGGATCGATGTTGGGGTCTTAAAAGAAAACCCTATATTACTTGAAATGATGTGTATACTTGTGTAGTACCCCTAGTGTGTAAAATATTTTCTAAATTTTATAATATTTTGATTTTGCAAACTAGTTGCTAACTATAAATTAGTTCAAGTTTTTGGTCATCTTTTTTAAGCTAATTTTCTGTGTAATTGGGGGCGGGTCACTAGCCGAGACTCCAAAACCGCCCAACTGAGCATAAATAGAAAGTTGGCCAATCGCGGTGTCAAGATCACCCAGTCCTGCCCAAAAATCAAAGACAACCACCTGTGACACCAGGATCATCTAGCTAAGCATGAAATAAAAGAGCGACATACCACAACATCATAATCATCCAACCTAGCCTAATATTAAGAACAACTGCCGGAGGGCAGGATTACCTGGTTGGGAACAAAACTAAAGGGTAACCGACCATGATGCTAAGCTCTCAACCTACCCAAACCATTCATTTGCATACATATGAGATGTTTCAACCAAAGATGGATAACCCACGAAAGCAAAAAAAGTAAATAAGATGAAAAAGAGTAAGAAACAAGAAATATCTCTATTCAATTCTTCAAAACATGTACAAAATTTTTCTATGAGAACATCAGTGCCCGACGACCCAGCATGGTCGGACGGTGTCGAGATTTTGAAAAAAGAAAAAGGAAATTAAATAAAAAAATAAACAAAGTATCCACAAAAGACCTAGGAGACTGCGGATCCACCACCACCCACTGTTTCATCTCCGCTAGGCTTATCCACCTCGTTGTCTTTGTCACTAGAGCCAACACCATGGAAGGTGAATCGGTCCCTGCCAACCGACTTAGGCTCCACCAGACCACCCTTTACAACGTGTTCAGCGACAATAATAAGACCAACTTGGATTTTCTTTAAGAGTGCAACCACGTGATCTTCTTTAGAGATCATCCCATACATGTTGTCCACCATATCCCTATTCTTGGTTGTTAACTTGACAATGGTTTTCTCATATTTTTTAGCCCTTCCCTCCCATGCCTAGATCGAATCTTTCAAGTATTTCTGCAGGCACAGGAGCTCCAACTTGACCTTTCTCTTACCCTTTCATACCTCGACCATCATGTGACTGATTGTTTTTTCTTTTCTTTTCTCATGGACCAGGGCTTTTCACATGGTAGTGAGAAATGGACAAAAATTCATTGCATTGCACCGACCGGGTGTCTTACACATATTGGTTTAACTCATGCCAGCCATAATAGAGTTTAGCTCGTCAAACCACAACACTTCAGCAATGAAGCTTGGAAGATATGTCGCCTCCCTTAGGGGAGGACCTGTTAACTAGTTCGTCCAAGTATCCACCATGATATAATATTCGCCCGTACTCTCAAACATGTTGTTTTGACCATTGAACCAACCTATCCACTCCTGAGACGAAGGGGGACGCGGCATTGAATCTTCACATGCAGGCTTTTTCTTTTCAAGTCTTAATCAGCCCTCCCCTGGAGTCAATTACAGAGCCTTTGTCGCATTTGAAGATGGATACAACCCACATGGGAGATGCATTATGCAATAACCCTTTCCCTTGGGTCGAGATAAGGTATGCCTAATTTCCCCTTTATTCGGCAGATCCACCCAGAGCATCCTTTCCTAGAACTAGATTTTCGAGTATCAGATGACCCGAATGGGGCCTCCCAGAATGCGCTAGAGTTCCCCACACTTGGCACAATGAGTCGACAATAAAAAAAATATTAATAAAAAATAAAAATAATAATAATAATGAGAAAGCTCAAAAGGGGAAAAAGCGTTCTCGGCCACACATATCCTTCCGACTGTATAGTCAAATGACATAACAACATATAAAAGACCTAAAAAAAACTTTCCAAACCCCAAATAAAATATAATATGAGGTTGAACCCCCTTAAAATGTAAATTTGGAGCCTTAACTAACAAGTTTTTAAGTTATCTCCAAACCTTAAAGGCTTAAAAGCAAGCCCAAACAAGATCCAAGCGTTGATCGACATGCAACCCCAGCAAAATATAAGAGAAGTTAACAAACTAGCTATCCTGATCACAACTTTGAGCCGGTTCATTTTGAGGTTTGGTGGCCTTTAGGTCAGGCGACTGCTTACTGAGGGCCAATGCCAACTGCTTCGGGACTGGCCGGTCAATTTCACCTATTTAATCTGTCTAGGGTGGATGACGTTATATGTTCACATGAGTCTAGTCAGATAATTTTTTTTTTATGATTGATCTACTCTTATCCTCCTAGTAAGTATTATTCTTCCAATACTCTTGAACCTTCAAGCTAGATGTGCAGTCCTGAATTGTCTTTAAAAAGCCCAGCGATGCACATCACTTCATCCGCTGTCGCGAGATATCTTTGAGATTCGTGCCAATGCATTTTTAATTTACGAATACACTGATTAATTTACATCCCTAATTTTAAGCCAAAGGCTTACCATTCATTCCTCTTTGTTCGAAAGTTACTGACGTTAATAGTGTTGGGGATGAAGTCCGACTCGAGTAATTGCAACCAAGTATAAAAATAAAAATAATAATAATAGAAAAAAAAAACAAGGAAACGCTATACCATTATCTTTCGTAACCTTTACATAATTACATCGACACTATATTACATGCGAGGTTCCACAATATAGCATCCACATGAATGGGCATACAAGTTTTGTACTCGCGATTTGTAACTGTAAAATAATACATAGAAGCTAGCAAATCAATATGCCAAAATGATTCAACGGGAGTGTAGTCTGGGCAAACTGAAGATGTATATAAGGAGAATAGAATGCGGTTGATTCAAATATATCGGCGAAGGTAATCGAGTCGAGCTGGATGTTTGAGCTTCATCAACGCTTTCAGCTCGTGTTTCCTTACCATCTCTCTTGATACATTGAGGTTTCCTGCAATCTCTCCCAAGGTTCGCCTACCTTTCCCATCAAGCCCGTATCTTTGTCTGATGACCAAGCTCTCCCTGGGCTTAAGTGAATCAAGCTGCACAGACAAAAAGAGAAACACGCAGGAAATCACTAAAGATGCTTAGAATACAGAAAAAAGCAGCTTGGATTAGCATTGTGATACCATAAGGTTCAGTTTGAAGGATTCAAGAAGAAATTTCTAATAAGCACTCACCACATCATCAATAGCTAGACGGAGGGCAGGCTGTCTTCGCTTGCCACCTCCCACTCCATCAATGTCTGCAATCCCATCAACAAATTCTTCTTGAGTAACCGCATGCCTTCCATTGAGAGAACCTACTGCCTTTGAGGCCTTCAACACATCGTAGTATCTCTCAGGAGATACTCTCACCCTCTCAATTATCTCTTCGTCGGTCGGTGGCCTCCGGAGCTTGAATGCCAGCTCTAGTTTGGCCTTCTGGATCTCCAATCTGACCTGCGAAAAAGTGAGGTTTGTTTCAACTCTTCAGTTGTCTTACAAATTACTCCAGGCTCTGCCAACCATGTATTCAGGTGTATGAACGCAGGAAATCTTATGATAACAAAAACTACAGCTTGAAGAAAGAAAACAGTAATATGATTTTATGCATGAGACTAATCAAATCATAAATTTCTGATACATTGTGGTGTTATAAAAGGTCACTATAGTGCATCCAACGCAATGAAAGCTTTACCTGAAACATAGTTTGATATGCATAAAGTAGTGAAATGAAAACAAAAAAACACCGCTAAAAAAATTATTACATTGCTAATTCCTGAAAATCAAATGGAATGCTACAAATACAAAAATCTTTTGGGAGAGTTTCATAAATTTCAAAAACCAAATGAAAATATAAAATGAGCCATTTTTGCAAGAATTTGAAGCTTCAGCCTCGAGCATGGCAACATATTTATAGCCTACAGTTGAATCTAATTAGTTTTCAATACAGATTATAGCATGCTGGACATAGTTCATGCTTTTTACTGAACATTATGGCGATCATTTTTACATGAAACAGAAAATTCTAGAATAATCAATTAATTTTGGGCCTTTTTTTTAAATAAAATTATAGACAAAAATGCCAATAACAAGTACAGGTGAAATCTTTGAATTCATACCGCCTCGATGCCAAAGGATACGCGAGTGAAACTTGAAAGTGTCATAGATCTAACTATATAATGTCGAATCCAAAAGAGGGCATAAGTAGACAAACGGAGAGCGCGCTTTGGTTCGAAGCGATCAATGGCTGTAATAAGTCCCTTCACTCCAGCTTGACACAGGTCATTGAACTTATGAGCGCTTGCAATGTCTTGATAATGCTTGTTAATTACAAACAAGACCAGACGGAGGTTGTGCTGCAGTTTATGTAATATTAAATAATTAGTCAGATGAAGCAAAAACAATCAAACCCAAATGAATCAACTCACAGACAAGTAACAGATTGCATACAAGAGGATGTTTCCTTGAGATTTTATAATAACTATACTCATAGAAATCTCAGTAATTTCACATTAGCCTGTCTCAAACTAAAGTGAAGTCAAGGAAACTTATCTAAAAGGTTTAATTTATCTTTCAGTAACAAGCTAAAATACCATGCAAGTGGAGCTTCTACAAATGGCGGAATCAGAGAAATGTAGTTTACAAACAACAGGGAAATCAAGCATGGCCCTTAAACATTTGTTGAAATTTTTACAAAGATTTGAATTACATTTTGATCATTCATCAGATACAATACCAAATAGTACTTTTGTTGAGAAGTAAAACCTTTTTTATTGTACATAATGTTCAAAACACAAGTTGCATATCAGAATCTTAAACTTTGCCACTAGGCTTTGATTTTTTATTTTTTTAATTATCCGCATAACTATGCAAATGGCGGTTGATCATTTGTACCATTAGAAACTATTTTTCCTTCAAAACAAATAACAAATTTGTTAGAAAAAATAAATTTGTGCATCTGGTATCATATCTTTAGTCTATTGACAAGGATCAAGCAACATTTCGAGTGCTGCAGCATTGTTATTAAACAATAGAATCTTGAAACATAATATAAATATGCCAAAAAAATTTCTTGAATAGATGGGAGTTGATAAAAATTCAGAAAATAAGCACAAAATCATAAATGACACAAATTTGGCTGATTGAGAAAAACGTAGAAACCTTGATAATCTTGTTTCTTGCTGCATGACCAACTTCTAGCTCTCTTTTCATTCTTGTGACGCTCAAGTTAACTGCTTCTGCCAAGTCTACATTTGTCAGCTCCCTACCTAAGTCCTCATACAGATTCTTTTTCACCTTGAGCATCGCCTATCCATAAAAAAAGTAGCAAATGGAATTGATTAGAATAGCTATGTAGCAAATACAAAAATCGGCATCTACAAGAGAACACTAATTGCTTGGTGTTCAGAAGTACTTTTTTTTTGCTGAGAGTCATGACTTTGCCATTGGAAGTCATCAACGGTGCTCAAATATAACACCACTGTGCTTCAGTTTGGTGGTATCATGACCATCTAAGTATCCTAGTTCTGATAAGAAAGAGCTTGAGTGTTTAAAAAACCATCACTACAGAAAAACAATTCAATTTCTCCTGATGGATAAAAATGAACTACTTCTAGTCAAGTCACCAGGGCTCAAGTATTTAAACCAATTTATAAACATATGCAAACTGAAATACATAATCAACAAGAGGTAATTAGCTTTTGGCTCTATAATGCTAAGAGTACAACAAAAAGTCGCCTCCTGGATGCCAATCGAACCAACTAGAGCAAAGAAAAAGATAGACACAATGTTATGGCGATAGAACAATAGTTCAGCAGACTAGTTGAATCAGGCTGGATAGAAGGCGAGCAAAGCTTAAGATCAAACGACCAAGCCCACTAGAAATGAGATAGAAGGGGTGATGTGACAGAAAGCGAGCGAACCCCAACATCAAGTGGCAAAGCCTCCCAATTGCGAGTTTCCATTTTCCAGACTACGATCAACCGACACATTAAGCCATAACAAAAAGTTAGTTGATCAAACACAGAAGCCCAATAGAAAGAAGATGAAATTAAGTTAAACGACCATACAATTCAAAATTAAAGTCAAGCGACCCGGGAAATATAAATGGGGATAACTCTTGATGTCCTGTTTCAGTGGCTTAAGGGAAGCAATAATTGTATAGGGTTCCCCTAAGAAATCTTTGTGGCGTAGATTCTTTTTATTTGAAATAATGTAACGCTTCCCTCATAAAACAGGGAGGTTTGACTACTACAAATAGGAGATTGTGTACAAAAATAAGAACATTCCCTTTTTTTTACTTTTACTCAAAAATCATAATAGAAAATTCAGGACTACTCTTTTTCTCATCAAGTCTCTCTTTTCTCTTCAGCTTGCGTGTACTATTTGGGTGTGATTCTAACACAAATCTACATTCAAAACCCTAAAATGTGCGATGAGCGTGAAATTATGCTTCCAATGAGATTAAGAGCAGTGCAAGAGGAGTAAAGTGTTCAAGAGAATGCAAACGATATGGAATGTACCAAGGTTTACGTGACCTAACAGATATAAGAACTCAAAGATAAGATGAGGGAAATGATAAGGGAGACATTACTATAAAGAAGCAGATCCGGTGGCCCTACTGTTGACTCGCTCCCGAACTCCAAGTATGAGCGATGAGAAATACCGTCTTGACGGTGGGGGCTCTGCATCTCAGACGTGAGATTGAAGAAGACATGCATGCGCTCGCCGACCAACCCCTGACAATGCTTTCTCCAGACGGATCATCGAAGCTGAAGCACCAAAGTGAATCAAAATCCTGACTCTGGAACCATATCAAGGGAAGATTGATCCAACCGAGCACGTTGCCTCTTTTAAGTTGATGTTCTGTCTACAGAGGGTGAACAAAACTCTAAAATGTTGACTCTTTTTTATGACCTTGAAAGACTCTGCGCTCCAATTGTTCAATAGCTTGTCGAACGGGATAATCGCCTCATTCAAGGAATTGAAGATGATGTTCATGCCCATAAACCATAGAGAGACTCTCAAGCATTGTTGCAAGTATGGCAAGAGCAACAGGAGCAGTTGCGCGACGCTATAACTAGATTCCATAAAGAAATGTTGGAGTTATGGTATTTGGATCCCATAGCTGCGCACGCAACCCTCGCCCAAGTTTTGTGAGAACGTTATTTCAAATACGCTTTAGGACTACAAACGACCCAAGACATTAGCAGAGCTAGTAGAGCTTGCCAACGAAGACATTTTTGGCAAAATAATACAGCTTACCCCCGGTCGTCTGGAAGCTTGAACGGTCACGCCAAACCCACTAAAAAGTCCTCACGACAGCAACTAGAGGCCCATTCATCCACCGTGAAGCTACATCCCGAAGAAGACCACACATCAGGATCAAGAAAGTGTACGATACCAAGGAAGGAGAATGGATTGATACTCGGAGAGGCCACTACCACCAACAGATCATATCCCTCACTAATCCTACTCAAAGTCTCAATGGTAGAGATCGTAGAAGCCACTCATAACAAAGACTATTACCAGAAGCCTGCACATATGAAAGCCGAGAGATACTCCCGAGACCTAAAAAGTACTGTGCTTACCAATGAGATCATTGGCATGACACAGAGGAATGTCGACACCTCCGATATGTAATCAAAGAGCTGATTCAAGTTGGAAAGCTTAAATAGGTTGGAGGAGAGTGGTCAATAACTTAGGAAGGCGTCGCCGACAAAAAGTAGAGGAAAGTCGTCTCGGACCTAAGAAATTCATATTATGAGAGTTGCTCCTACCATCCATGAGGAGATAGAACCAAGGCCTCACAATGGTCAACTCTAACAAAATCTGATCAGGCGAGTCATGTTTGACTGCTGAAGACCTACTGTTGAAGGCGAGACATCCTTGGTCCCTTCGATAAGTCACGAAACATCTGCCCATCACGTTTACTAATGAAGACTTATTGTTGAAAAACAATCTTTGCAATGAAGAAATTGTCGTTACTACTATAAATAAAGAGCTAGTTCCCTTGCATATAAGGTATTGAGTCGCTCGCCTTTTCTAGTGGCATGCGAGTGAATGGTTGAATTGTATACACTAGATAGTCATCCCTGCTCCACCTGCATGGAATCCATTTTTTGACAACCCCAGAAATCTCTCCGTGAGGAACTCCATGGGGTTATAACGAAACAGAAGGGCTGGTTGGAATCAACAGGGGAAGGGGAGACACTGGAGGCAGCACAGACCTTCGAGATGTCTAGAAGATGCATCAACAGCGAGACGGGAGGATAAAGCATGAGCAACTGGAAGCAAGAGAAGAAAATGCTAAACCAAAATTGAAAGTAAAATCCTCATGATTAAAACAACCATATTTATAGAGGGACAGAATGATAAAAGGTGCCAAAAGCTCAAAATGGTAGAAATGGAAATTACAGATAACTTAAACGTAATAAACACAATCAACATCACATCACGAGAAGAGGTGTGAAAATCGAAGTGCGCAAATCCTCATTAAAATATATACATATTTACCAACAGTAATTACATCAACTGGATGGTAGGAAAAATAATATACAAGAATCAAACATTGCCTCAGTTGGGAGACAACCAAGTTGGGCAAGTCTCATCAAAATATGCTCCCCACCAGACCTAAACTGACTAAAGCGCCTCGAGTCAACTTGAGCTTGGAAGACTGAACACTTTTCCTTTCGCTCCGTAGGCTCAAAAGAGCATCTCATCACTTACGGAGTTAAGCTTCCCTTTCCAGATCAACCAACTTGGCCATACCGTTGACCATCCCGACTGAAGTTGCACCATCTACATGCTCAAGGAGACTGTCGATTGAAAAGCTCATCACCTGGCAAATAATCAATGGTTTAGCATCTTGCACGTTAACAGCAGGGGGGTGCCCTCCGTGGCTGCTTGGTCGCCCCCAGCCTCATGCTTAGGGGGCATGAATCCTTGGCTCGCCCACTCTCCACTGTTCAAAAGTATGCCCGGAGACTCATCCAGATTCAAAGAAGCTGAATCGACTGAATCGTAACTTAAGGAGGTGAGAAGTATAAGAAATCACGTCCAATATATTAAGGAAAAAAAAAACCTTTCCTTAGACATAGCATCATTCCATACCAAGCACTCTTAGCTTTATGAATAAATATCAAATCATAGGATCCTCACTCCGAAACCCTTGATCCACAAAGCTGCCTAAATGATAGGTTGGGGGGAGAATCCATGACTGGTTCACCCAACGGGTCTGCTTCCTCCGAGATAACAAGAGCAATGCCTGACTCAAGGACGTATATGAGACAACAGACTCCATCCTGCGAGATACTCAAGAGGCATCCACAAGAAGGACACTAGGTGCCTGGAGGATGGATAACAGCCCAGCATGATCAAGCGCCCCAATGACGGAAGATAGGCCAACATGATCAGGCACCCGGATAATGACTGAAACTACCAAAGAAGAGCCTGGAAAGTTTGACGATGTTTCATCATGTTTTCGTTTCAAACCACTACCGCTATGATGTTTTCCAAACAGTCTACGGAGAATGGCTTATCGAAACCTCAGCCTTGGCCAGCATAAGCTCCCATTCGAATAACCCCAGCAGAAGAGTGAAATCAAGGAAAAATGAAAAGGCCGGGAAAGTCGAACGAGGTTTTATCAAGCTATTTATAAAGCATGAGGCTTGAAAATCAAGGATGTATTAAAAAACCTTACATCTCAGCATTTACGATTGATTTAGAAAAAGGTAATGATCAACTTAATTTTGTCATTGTTGATAAATCACTCGAAGAAAAAGAACTTGTGGCCCGATTGCAACCGATAATAAAATTCTCGCTACTCATTTCAAGTAGACTGACTTTAGAAGAAAAATACAACAAACTGAAAAGTTCAAAATATTCACATACAAAATCACTATCACAAGATAAGTTCCCTCAAAAAATACTGGGGCAATTGCAAAACCACCAATGCATACAATCATAGATAACATCAAGGTTGTTGACTCTACGTCATCTACAGAAACTCAGTTAGCTTGGAGCAGCCTCCTCAGAACACATCTCCCGCAAGAAATGAATGGTTGGGAGCCAAGAGGTTCTAGTCAATGCTAAAGAACAAGAAACTTAGCCTTCACCTCAGCAAGGTCTTCACATCTCCAAAAAATATTCCTCAAACAAAGCTCCATTTTTTCTTCCAGGATAACAATATGCTCTTTCAACTCCACAATATCCTCTTCCAGGTGCATAACCTTGTCCTAAATACCCACCGCGTCGGTTTCCACTCATTCCAAGCCCCCAACCACGAAGCTCAAGTTTTTTGTCCAGTGAGCATAGGTCCACTTTACTTTCGCAAGATCTTCAAAAATAGCAATCAGTTCAGTTAGGAGGTCTACACACTCAACGCAATGGTCGGGTGGCAAGCAAAAGATGGTTGCGCCATCATCCACTGATCGTTAACACCCATTGATGACTCAATTCCAGGGGGTGCGACCAATCGCCTTCACAGTAGTTGTTTCATCCCCAAAATCCAAAAGCACATGGAAGGAAGTCAACACCAATTGCCCCACTCTCAGAGGTAAACTCTCTATAGCAAGTACAGGTGCAAGAAGTGCAAACACGACATCCTCAAGAAGTTGCGAGCCTCCGATCTCCATCTTTTAACAAATCTACTAGAAATAATTTCCCTCACGGTCAGTTGAAAAGTTGCAAAAAATGCATAGGATAAAGAATTCTACAAATAAAAAACAAGTAAGTGCGTACACCCATTTATAATTGAAAATGTTGACCTTGGGGCTCTACCATCTCTTACTAAATTAAGAAACAAAGTGAAAATAAAAAATTAAGTCTAAATAATTCTTATTCTCCTGTTCTTCTCGAAGTTTCTACATCAAATAGATAAGAGAATAAGATAATTAAATATGTACAACAAAAATTAGCATCCCAGACATCCAATCAAACGAACTGAAGCAGGAAAAAAAATAGACACTGAGTTATGGCAACTGAACAACAGATTCATTTGACAAGTTGAATCAGACGACCCTCTCTATAGGAGCTATGAAATCAACATAGAAGAGGTAGCTGGATAGAAACAACTACTGTGAAGGCGAATCTACTAGAAATAATTTCCCTCACGGTCAGTTGAAAAGTTGCACAAAATGCATAGGATAAAGAATTCTACAAATAAAAAAAAAGTGCGTACACCCATTTATAATTGAAAATGTTGACCTTGGGGCTCTACCATCTCTTACTAAATTACGAAACAAAGTGAAAATAAAAAAACAAGTCTAAATAATTCTTATTCTCCCGTTCTTCTCGCAGTTTCTACATCAAATAGATAAGAGAATAAGATAATTAAATATGTACAACAAAAATTAGCATCCCAGAGATCCAATCAAACGAACTGAACCAGGAAAAAAGATAGACACTGAGTTATGGCAACTGAACAACAGATTCATTTGACAAGTTGAATCAGACGACCCTCTCTATAGGAGCTATGAAATCAACATAGAAGAGGTAGCTGGAATGAAACATCAAGTGACCAAGTTCCCAAGAAACGAGTAAGAAGGGGTGATTGAACGGAAGGAGAGCGAACCTCAACATCAGGCGGCCAAGCCCCTAGTTGGGAGTCTCAAATTCTCTAAGCAAGATCAACTAGCAGGTTAGGGCATCCCATTAGGTTAGGCAATCAAACACAGATACCCAATAACAAACAGATGAACTTACGTTTCATGACCGTGCAACTCAAAGCTAGAGTCGGGCAACTCGATCAAAATTAAAGAGGAAAACTCTCAACGTATTGTGAAGAATAAGAGTTTGGTCACTCAAGGGAAGCAATAATTTTATGGGGTCCCACTAGAAAAACTTTGTGGAGTGGATTCCTTTTATTTGAAATAGTGTAATGCTTCCCCGCATAAAAAATGGAAGTTTGACTCCTATAAATAGGGCACACGGTACAACAAGAAGGGCACTCCATTTTTTGATTTTTACTAAGGAATTTTAATAGAAATTCGGGAGTTTTTTTCTCATCTACTCTCTCTCTACTCTGTAGTGCTTAAGTTCTATTTCTCAGATGTGATTGTAAGACAAATCTAAGTTCGACACTAAGAAAAAGCCATCACATACTAAACGAAGACTAAGCAGAATGGAGAATATAAAGATAAATATTTAAGAATACCTAAATTCCAGAAACAAATTCTTAATATGCTGGGTATTTCACCTTCATAGGCTGCATCAGTTTGAAGAGCCAATTATGCTCAGCCAGTGACAGAACTGGCGGAATGTTCATCTTCTTCCAATCCAAACTGCCCAAGTCAATAGACACCGAATATTCCCGCAACAACTTAACAACTTCCAACTCCTCTTTCTCCTCCTTTGAGGCATCATCCCTCACACCATCTCCTGCAAGCAACTCTCCCTCTTCCTTCCGCAGACGCTGCAGCGCAATCCTCCCATCCAAACTCAGTCGCCTCGTCCTCCTCTTCCTGTTCCTCACAACCCCTTCTCCGCTCTCCACGCCGTCCTTGCACCTTTTCTTCCGGTGTCTTCCGCGACCAAGTTTGGAATCCAATTCCATTTCCGATTCCTGCGCCGGGCTCAGCTTATATATGTTCTCGAGCGCCTCCGCAACCTCACTGTAGTCCAAATCCGCCGCGACCGCAGCCGATGCAGGGGAAGCGGAGGCAGACTCGATGGAAATGGTCTGGGCTCTCTTGGCCTGCTTCCTAGATTTAGTCAGTGTTTTTGCTGAGTTCGTATCTGATGATTTGAAGGCGACGAAAGAGAGATGACGCCGCCGGAGGGGCTGCGACCAGCCCGCAGAGTAGCCGGAGCCGATGCCGAGGGGCGATGTTCTTGACGGCGCGTTGGAAAAGGTGACCACATCCATCTCGACTGATGCCCAACACGTATGTCAACACACGCAGAGATTCTGGCCGGCGAGCTTCCACTTACAGAGCAGAATGAGATCAACAATTAGCCACGAGTACGATAGCCGAGGATTTTGGATTTTGCAGTTTCTGGAATTTTCTTTTCAGAGCAAACACCTTAAACAATATATTCTCAAAATTACTGTAAATCTATTTTTTTTTTCCATAGCAAATATTCAAAGGCCAAAACCGTAAATTATTTAATTCGGCTGAAGGATAAAAGTAAAACCAACCATCTTCATTTGTTTTTCCTTAATTTTCCCTTCGTGTCGAAGGAAATTATTTCTGGGAGGTCTAAAAATTATTGATTGCTCCAATAAATTTTATTTTTATGAAAGTAATTAAAAAAAGACATTGAGATTAAAAGTAAAAGCGGCTGCCCGTAGGGATGTAAACGAACCGAACACGAGCTGAGTGTTCGGCTCGTTTATATTTCGAGCTCAAAAAATGTGTTCGTGCTCGGCTCATTTGCTTAGCAAGCCGAACACGAGTCGTTCACAAATAAAGAGTCGTTTTAATAGCTCTAATCACATAGTCATAAGATGTTAAGGTTTGAGGTAAGATTTAAAACATCATTTAAATCTAATTTAATAATTTTTATTCTATTTTCTTCACTAATACTTTTTGATGATTATAAATCTGTGGCCTTATAGTCAATTAATTTTTTTTAAAAATACTATTCATCAAATATATTATATATATATATATATATATATATATATATGTAATAGATTTTAATTGCCATTTCGTATTTGGTAAAATTTTTAAGACTATTTATTAATTTAATTATAGTGCTTAAACCTCATTATTTATTAAAAACCATATATTATTAATTAAGTAGCCGAAAGAAAGTTGCACGATCCGATGTGGGGGTTCGGGGCGAAGAGCGCCCCCACGTTGCTATTTTGTCAACCATTTGAATTTCATAAGAGAAGGCGAATTTCAGTTTTTTTTTTTTTAATGATGGGGAAAATCCAGATATTTTATTTAATTTTTGAGTTATAAGCTACAAATTCTTGCACTGAAATTCTAAAATTTAGTGGCATTTAGTGCAAATGCAATAATTATTATTTCACCATAATTCCATAGATAGCACCCTAAAAATTATTATTTACAAATCTAGCATCCTCTTTCATCTATTTTTCAAATTATCACTTAAATATCAAAATTCATGATAAAACTTCTGAACGATTTGATTGTGGAACGTCTAAATACATAGGTTCGATAGTTCTAGAACATCATTTGTGTGCTAGGTTTTATAAATAATAATGTTTCAGGTGTTGTATGTACATATTATTATTATTTGTTAAGCAAGGTAAGAATTCAATATTGAAATTCTTCACTTTATTTCAAATAATATACTTAATATTCCATAAAAAAATGTTTTACCATTCACTTTTGCTTAGATGTATTAATGTTTGGCAAAACAAAGATAAATTATAATCTGCCATGACATTTTCAATCATCTAATATAATAATAGTAGAATAAAGTGTCAATATGGTCCATGGCTATTTACATGGGGTTGTTTAGTATCAAAGTTTATAGAAGTGTCAAAATAGTTTCCAAACTCTTTAAATTGGGGGCGAAAAAGTCCTCATGAAGGACTATTAGGGCTCAATTTTAAAATATCAGAGGACAATTTCCATACTTCTATAAGCTGAGACTAAAATATCGCTATGTAAATAGTCGGGGACAATTTTGACACTTAATAATAATAGTTCTTGTTAAATATATATTTCATGGGAGTATCTTCAATGCCAAATTGACTTATTATTTTTTTAGTGGGCCGCATCGGATTCATCTTCAATTCTGCCTGAGGCCCATTTCGTGTTTATTTGCTAAATTTGTAAGAAAAAAATAAAATTTAATTTTTAACATTATTTTAATACAAATATAATAAGATTTTAATTAATTAATTATATATTATTTTTATTTTAAAATTCATTAATATTTTATTAAATATTCATCATTAAATTTGAATTAAGATTTAAAAATTTACTCTAAAATTTGTTGACTTTCGATACTCAATGACGGGCTACGAATTGCAAGATCATAATAAAATTTATTCCATTTCAACATACACATCAGATATTAAAGCTACAAAATATTTAAGGAAGAAGTTTTTATAATTGATTTCAGTGGTATTCAAGCTTCATTTTAATCAAACTGGTGAGTTACGTTAACGTTATATACCTAATAATACTAAATGTGCCTTCATTTGAGTCCAAATAAATTTTAAATTTTAAATCAAATACTCTGAAGTTTTATTAAGACATTGTGAGATTATTGGGGAGACTAAATGCACTTCGGTTCTTGTGTGCATGGACAAGCCACCTGTCTTATGAAATAAATTCGACAAGCCCAAGATTATTTTAGGAAAAACTGAAAAATAACAAACCATTCGATGGAATGTGTTGATTTCTTGTATAAATGACCAGACTATTCCTCTAGAAATTTATAAATAAACAACTTATGCATATTAAGGGGGTGTTGGGATGATGTCACGTGAAGGATTTGTTGGGAAATGTAGAGACTCAGTTCCTCGAAATTTAATTAGCTTCCTAGTTAAGAATCTCACCTTTCACTCACCTACTTTCCCACCTACTGCTCACCTATCACATTCCACCCACCTCTCACCCACCGCTCTCATAATTTCTATAAATAGCCTCTTTTGGCTTAAAAGAGATGTCAAGCCAAGTAAGGCCAAGCCAAGCAAGGCCAAACCAAGTCCACTTGAGAGCTAAAAGAGAAATAGAGGAAAAAAGAAAGAGAGAGAGAGAGAGAGAGAGGGAGAGAAGAAAATAGAGATTTTCTTGTAAACGTCGAGGCGCTCGACGGCATAATTCTTCGAAGAAATAAAATTCTCCGTAGCTCCGTGGACATGGGCAAATTTGTTGAACCACATAAATCTGTGTGTCACTTTGGTGTTTTTCTGCATGCAATTTTACTCATTCCATTTTTCGTTTTATTGCCATCGTTTTTTCACAACAACTGGTATTAGAGCTTGGGTTCGAATCCAAGGAAGAACGATGGGCGGAGACAAAGTGATGACATTGGGGATCGAGAAGTTCAATGACACGAATTTTGCTTACTGGAGGATGCAGATGGAGGACTACCTCTATGTGAAGAAACTTCATCTTCTATTACTGCGAAAGTGCTAGAAAAGATGGATGAGGCGGAATGAAATCTGTTAGATCGATAGGTTCTGGGGGTTATACGATTAACCCTATTGAGATCAGTTGCCCACAACGTCATCAAGTAGAGGACTACTGCAGATCTTATGGCAGTTTTATCAGGTATGTATGAAAAATCATCGGCGAATAACATGGCTCATTTGATGAAAAAGTTATTCAACTTGAAGATGGCGGAATGTGTGTCTATTGCTCAACACTTAAATGATTTCAACATTAACACAAATCAGTTGTCGTCTGTTGAAATTGATTTTGATGATAAGATACGTGCGCTGATATTGTTGGCTTCATTGTCAAAAAGCTGGGAAGCCATGAGAATGACAATCAATAGTTCTGCATGTAAATATAAGCTGAAATATGATGATATTCGTGTTTTGATTTTAGCTGAGGAGGTGCGCAAGAACGATTCTAGCGAGGCTTCGTGTTCAAGTTCGACGATGAATGTTTATTCTAGTGGGAGATCACATGATAGGAACTCAAACAAAAGAAGATCAAAATCATCAAAATCAAAGTCTAAGAAGATCAAAATCAAAGTCTGGTCAGCATACAACCTGCTGGAATTGTGGCAAGGCTGGCCACATAAAAAGAAACTGTAGGAATCCTAAGAAAAATGAGAATGATGACGTTAATGTTTTAACTGAAGAAATGCAGGATGCACTATTTCTGGTAGTTCACAAATTCTATTGATGACTGGATACTGGATTCAAGGGCTTTTTTCCATACATCTTCCCATCGGGAGTTAATGCAAAATTATATTGAAGGTAACTTTGGGAAAGTACATCCGACTGATGGAAAAGTTCTAGACGTGGTGGGAATGGGAGACATTGGTATTGCACTCCCTAACAAGAGTAAATGGACTTTGTAAATGGTCAGACACGTTCCTGAGTTGAAGAGAAGTCTCATCTCTGTTGGGCAGCTCAATGAGGGTGGTCATTTAGTGGTTTTAGTGGTGTTCTCAGATAGCAGTTCTCAGATAGCACCTAGAAGGTTATCAAAGGAGCATTAGTACTGACTTGGGGTAAGAATACTGGCACACTATATATAACTACAGATTTACTCAGGCGATGACCATGAGTCAGAGATGCATTATGGGGAAGCAGAAGAAGTTTAATTTTTTGAAAAGTGGTAGAGCGCCAAAGGCAGGAAACCAGACCTTCTACAAATAAATGGTGGAGAACCACAGAGTTATGATATAAAGGCTTGGTTTTTCTTGGTTTTATTGTAATTAGATGGCTTGAGATTTTTGTTTTGACTAAGGGCGTAGAGAAACATGCTAATTGCATGAGTTGTTACAACATAAACACACTACAATGCATTTAAACTAAATGCCCTATGAGTTTGGCATGAAAAATAAAACATATGTGACATGGAACACAAAAACATTAAAAGCCCTAAGAAAATTGACATGTAACATGAATAAGAATGACATAGAGCATGAAAATAAAAAAAAAACCCATATATTGTATAAAATTTGAAAAATCCATGGTAGATTTTGAAATTTAAAACATGTTACTGAAAAACATATGAAAAATTTTAAAATTTGTTGTTAATTTTGAAAAACCAACATAAAACATTTAATGAAACATGAAATTTTAAAATTTAATGGTGAATTTTAAAGTTCAACATACATCATGTAAAATACATGGAAACACTTCAAGATTGGATGGAGAGTTTATGAAATTGCAAGTTATATGCCATGCCGTCAATTTATTTGAATTCCTTGCTTGAATGAAGGCTAGGGCTCAATGTTTGATGGAGAACTAAAGGCTTATTTGCTTGGAGAGGGGAGGGGTTTTCTGGTTTTCTTGGGAGAGGAAGGGATGAGGAGAAATTTTGAATTTTCAATGAAATGAAGTACTTGGGGGTTGCGAGAATCATGGTTAGAAGTGGAGGAGTGGGTTTACGG